TATCTTGTGACCGCAAATGAGACCATGCACTTCAGAAACTCCAGAATTTTTTACTGGGAAGTGAGCTTACGTGGTGGTGGTTGTGGGATGTAGGTGTGGCTGCTGGGGAATCTGGAAGTATTTGTTGGGGAATGTGGGAGGGCTGCCCACCCTCACTTGGAGAAGACCCCAGAATTCTCAGTCAAAAACAAAAAGAGTGTACCTGAAATTTTTGGCAGTTTGGCATCTCTGTAGAGCTCAATCTTGAGACAATGGAGTCTAGCCATTTGCATGGCAGCAATTGTTGGGGTGTGAGTGCAGCTGCCAGGGCTTCAGCAGGTCAGGAACTCAGCCAACTCCATTTCCCCACTTTCCAAGAGTACCTCAGAGTTTTCAGCAAGGAGATGGATGTATCCATGGATTCTTTCAGCTAGTTGATCTCTCTAAATCATGAGTTTGTAAAGCTGGGCCAGTAGCTGAACTTACCTGGCAGTGGCTGTCAGATGAGGTTGTAGAGATATGCTTTTGCATGTAGGAGCCCTTGGTTTTTATCCTAGGCACACCTTGTTCCAATGGGCACTGATCCTGGAGTAGCCCCAAACACTGCCGGTATGAGCCTGGCAATAAAAAATAAAAAGCATGATTTCATCCTTTTTAGTGACAGCAGTAGTTCATTGAGTGTGTGTACACATACACACACACAAACACATATTCTTTATCCCTCATATGGGTATATCTTTCTATATTTTGTCAGACTGTGTAATATACAGCTTTCTTTTCCCAGTTGCTGGGTTGCTTGGTTTCTGTTTCTTTTGCTTTGTAGAAGAATTTTAATTTGATATAATTCTAGTTATTCTTGCTTTGTTTGCTTGCCTGTGTTTATGCTCTCCTTTGACTCAAGACAATCTCATCTGCTTCCTAGCTTCAGTTATCAGATTGTTCACTCCTAAATCTGTAGTTCTTCTTGCTTAAACAGAAAAATTGTTCATTCATCTTAACCATTTCTTGCTAATTTGTTCAACAAATATTTACCAAGTAACTAATATATCCTTGCTAGTGTTCGGAATTTCAGGGTTCTGATAATTAACATGATTCTGCCTTTATGGAGCTAACAGTTCTAGTGTGGGACACATGCAAACTGCACATGTGCTTGGTAGTAATATTAGAAAGTGAAAGTTTGTAAAGGGATAGAATAGTGAAATGTGCTAGGGAAGGATGTATGATCATTGGGGAGGTAGCATACGATAAAATTCTGGAAGAGCAAGACATAGGAGGGCATATGTGTTAAGACTAAGCATAGATATATATCTATATTTGTATACAAAATAAAAATATAAGGACTAAATGAGATAGACATTTAATCTTCGTAAGTATTAGAAATTTATTTTCACTTTTTCCCTTTCATGTTGGATTTTTATCTGCCCTCTACTCTTCCTTCTTTGGTTGAGTTACAGGTACTAAAAATGTTAGGTTTTATACATTTAACTTTTTTTTTGAATCACACCTGGTGCTAGGGGGTTACTTCTGGCTATCACTCAGGAGTTACTCCTGATAGTGCTCAAGGGACCATGTGGAGTGCTGGGATTGAACCCCAGTTGGCCACATGCAAGGCAAATGCCATACCCACTGTACTATTGCTCGGGCCCCAAATCAAACTTTTCTTATTCCTTGAACCGTAGGTTGTCTTCTTTTAGTTAATAGCAGCACTATTTATTTGGCTAATCCACAAACATGGGTGTGTGTTTTTAATAGTCCGGTGGGACTCTGTCTCATGTCACTTCCCCCACCCTGGGGAGGTCGATGGCGATGGGCAGGTGAAGAAATGAATGAGGGCCGGTATCAATTGTAGTTTATTCCAATCTTCACTCCCCTTCTGCTTCTCTCTCTCAAGACTGAGCCCCTCTCACCTCTGACTGCCCTCTGGAGCCTGAGCCCGAGCCCGAGCCAGAGCCAGAGCCTAGGTCTGAGCCTCAGCCTCCTCCTCAGCCTGAGCTTTCTTCCTCCCTTGAGTCTTAGTTTATATAGCAGTCATGTAGGTTGGTGACGCAAAGGTGGGTTGAACATTAACAAATCAGCAGTGAGGTAAGAGCACTACTCGAGGAGATTAACTCAAGGATAAAATCTCATCTAAAGAGATTATTCCAGATTACTAGGAGATCTGCTCAAGGGTAGGATCCCAACAAGGGTGTGTTCTTTCCTCAGATAGTAATCTACTTAAATAATTGTAGTAAATCTACTTCCAGTGTTTCTAGCAATGTCATTCTGCATGAGCACAGTAAGAGATATAAACTTAGAGTTTGGTTCTTCCTGAGGACATCTCACTATATATTCCACAGTCCTTCAAGCCAGGTTAGTCTTCCTCGCCCCAGCAGAGTCCTAGTCTCGTCATTACTTACTTTTGGATCATGACAGCGTTTGTCCATGATCATGCACTCAACTTATAGTTGAGTATTGTGTCGCTTTAGCCTGGCTCATTTTGATGCCAGGGTAGCTCACAGCTTGTCCTGGGTCCATTCAGTTCCTTGTTGGGATCCTACTTTTGGGGTGCTAAGAACTAAGGGCAACTGAGTCAAGAAAGCCCAGGAGTAAATATTCGGAGTCAATCAACTCCCAAGTTACAAAGCATAATATTAACTGTCTTCCTGTGTCTATACAGAAAGGACATTGCTTTAAGGTCAACTATGCAAAAAACATAACGTACAATACAAGTTCAGTGTCCTTAGAAGGATCTGATCTTACAAGCTAACAGAATCTGATTAGGGAGAAAAGGTGGTTAACTGGCTGGCAAGGAGAGCACAGAGAAGAGTTTTCAGATAAACAGAGGAATGGGAGTGACTAGGCAGCAGGTGATGGGTGTAACCCAATAAACCTAAGCTCCCTGTGGCAGTGTTATTCTACACATGGGCGTGGGCATCATTCTTACACTCTCTCATCCACCTTCATTTAATCTTTTTGCCAATTTTGCTTCTTTTGAATTATTCAAGTTCCCCTTGTCCTTTTTCCTGCCATTTAGGTCTCCATTTTCCTATTGGTATTAATACAGTAATGTCTTGATTGATCTTCCTCCATTTAATTTTTAAAATTAATTTTTATTTAGTTAGATTTTTATAGGTAAATCCTGGCTCTATTGTACAGGATTGGTGCTCAGGCCTGACAATGCATTATTGCTCCTGATGGTAATGATGGGGACCACCAGTACCACAGTTGGCAGTGCTGAGAGGAGATGCAGGGGGATTGTGGTGCCTGGAATCAAACTTAAGCCTTGTTTTACATGTAAGGCATGTGGTCCACCCCATTGACCTATGTCTCTTGCCCCTAATTTTACACACATACATTGATCTCCCTTTCCCTGTATGGCTGTAGTGACTAGGGATCACATGGAACTTGTTGTGGTGCTAGCACATTTGTTAGTTGGATTACTTACTGAAGGTCAGACACGTTAGTTGTCCTAGTGCACGCTTTCTTTACACTGTTCACTAGAAGTCACACATCTGTTTGTTACAATGCTTGCACATACTTGCTTATAGTGTGCTAGAGATTGCACGCTTTTTGTTATTGACCGGTTTCACAGCATAAATTCTGCTGGGATTGCACTTGCACGTAGTTTGGTGGTGGGGATTAAATGGAAAGCCTGTATGAGGAATTGTTTCAAATTGTTTAGTGGACCTTTTTGATGGGAAATACAATGACATTTATTCATATCAACAGACGTAGGATTTCAGAGTAAATTTTTAAAGGAGTTGTGGTTGGTTGTTTTCTGTTTTTTGCAATTTTGAAAAAACAAAGTTTGCTCATTAAAAATCCCCAAACTTAGAGGGGAATATATAAAATACAAAATAAAGACCTTTGTGTTTATTTTACTTCACAACTATAATGAACTTATTCTTTCTTTTTCTATGCATATGCATGCAAGCATATACTTTTTTACTTTCAGAACTGCGGTTATAGACTATTTGTTTCTATTCTTGCACTTTGATTACTTTTTTCTTTGAGCATATTGACGTCAGCATAGAAACCTTTTTCTTTGAAATGATTGCAGAGTATTATATTTGATTAATATTTTACTATTACAGATACTATAGAAATCCTATTTATGTGTATTTTGGGATTATAGGGCTAGTGGTATGATTGTAATGTGACCTTATACACAAGAGAAGATCCTGGTAAATCCCAAGGAATCCTCTTTTCTTGTATCTCATTTTCATTCTAGATAAGTTCATGGTTCATGAAAATATCTACTTAATAGACATTTCAACAAACTAATCTGAGTGCCAGATTTTAATCTATTTACAGAGGATAATGTTAAACACAGAAAGATGAAAAAGGATGCCTAAGGTCATGTAGTCTACAAATTGTGGAGATACTTCTTTCTTTTTCTGATGAAAATCATATTCTCTCTCTCTCTCTCTCTCTCTCTCTCTCTCTCTCTCTCTCTATTTCTGTCTCTCTCTGTCTTTGGACCACACCCAGCAGTGCTGTGTGCTCAGGCATAACTCCTGGCAGGGCTCAGGGAACAGCCTCATATGTTATGATGCTAGGGATTGAACTCAGGTCAGCCATGTGCAAGTCAAGTGCTCTACCCACTGTATTATCTCTAGTCTCAGATGACGCTGATTTCTAGGATAGTTTTTGAAGAATTAGGCCGTTTTTTGTTGACTTTTTAAATAGAATTTACCATCTGGCCTTATGAAACTCTGAAACTATTTCTCCCTTACCCCACCCACCCTTGTATTTGGTTGGCATTTTTTTCCTCCAATTTTTTAAAAATAGATAATCCATTTACCTTCAGCATCATTTGTTTCTTAGGATATGTCAGCTGTTAGGGCATTTTCTTATAAGTGAAAATTATTTTTGTTGCTTCATATTCAGGATACTTCTAACGTACTATGTAACATGTGTAGTCTATATTCATAACTAAGTTATTGGTATAAAACAGTTAACGATTTTAACAGGCAAGGAGGACAGAGTTTAGTTTATAAGTTAATGAGGTATATAGCTTATTGTTGTTGATTTTCTTTCAGAAACACGAACAAGGGCAAGTTCTGTTGGATATAGTCTTCAAGCACCTTGATTTGACAGAACGAGACTATTTTGGTTTACAGTTGGCTGATGATTCCACAGATAACCCAGTAAGTTTAAGCTGTTGTGTTTTGGTTTTGATGTTTCTTTCATAATATAAATTCCTTCCCAGCTTATAATGTTTGTACCTCACATCTGCAAGGTATGTGCTGTACTACTGAGGCACATTCCTATTTCCATTTACTGATTTTTTATTAAAAACTGTGTCTCATGTGGGTAAAATAAACCAGCTAGTCTCTGTAGAAATAAATTTAAGAATCTTTCCTTGTATTTTAATGCCTTCTTCTTGATAAAAATGGAAGTGGACAGAATTGTACCTAATATGACCTTTCCTGGAGAGATAAGTTGTGAATCCGCAGGTATTTGAAGAGTGGCTGCTGCATCTCACTGTGTGCACTATGGAGATCTTAAAAAATACATAATTCTCAGGTTTTCTTATAGCTGTACATAAGATTTTTTAGTTATAGGCATGTTTCTAATTAGAGAAGAGATTGTGTATTCACAACCATAGTCACTGCCATGAGTATGAAAAATGTTCTAGAAAAGATTCTAAGACTAATATTCAAATCTTTCATACCTCAAGAGATCAAATTCTGTTACAAAATTTCACACAAAAAGATACTTCTTTTCTAAAACAATTACAGCAGAATGGATATGGGGAAACATTTTTAGCTCAGTTGATCTTTTTGAACTCAGTTGATCTTTTTTACTGTGTCCTGTTTTGTCTTACTTTCCTATCATAAGCTGAACACAAGTGAAATAACATTCCCAGGTATAAGAATTCAGGTCCTAGTGATACAAAATAACTTTTACAAAAGAAGTAGAATCATAGATTTGTATTTGTTTGTTTGTTTGTTTGTTTGCCCTTTGGGCCACACCCTGCAATGCTCAAGAGGTTATTCCTGGATCTGCATTCAGAAATTACTCCTGGTGATACACACTTGACCATATGGGATGCCAGGGATTGAATCCTGGTTGGCCGTGTGCAAAGCAAATACCTTACTTGCTGTACTGTCTCTCCAGCCTCCTGCATCAGTGTTTTTTTTTTTTTTAATTGAATCACCATGAGATACAGAGTTACAGAGCTGTTCATGATTGGGTTTCAGTCATAGAATGATACAGTACCACCCATCCCTTCACCACTGTACTTTTCCCACCACCAGTGTTCCAGTTTCCCTTCCTGAAAGAAGCTTTAAAGGCTGTCTTGTCTAATACTTTTTGTTTTGTATGAGAAGTTATCCTAATACAAGTAAAGCTAGAGCGGAACTGAATAAAATATGCTAACTTGCCCTATATGTCTTTTCCACTGCACTGCAATTTCAGTGTTTAAATATTTAAAGGAGCCAGAGACAGAACTCAAAGGGCTAGAGCACATATCTTGCATGCAGTGAGGCCTGAGTTTAATCCAAGGCACCTTCTCACACAGTGCTGCTGGGAAGGCCAGAAATCATCCAACCAGTCAATTAGTCATACTAAGAAAAATCCATGAGATGGTAAAATGTTTCTGGAGGAGAGAATTTAGAGCAAGAATATCATGATTAGTGCCATTGCTGATTGTCATTATGAAATATGTCAAGACTTTGATGGTGATTCATGGTCTGATGGGGAGTTATACTGTACTTAGAGGAAGGAGCATGGGAATAATATTTATGAGACTTCCGTTGTATGGGAGTAAGATTTATGAGACTGTTCATATACAAAATTCTTAGTGTTTTTAAATATCAGAGTTCCTTTAAAGATTAAAAATTGAGGTTTAGAGTGAGGACAGTTCAGTGGGTAGCGTACATGATTTGTATGTGGGAGGACTAGATTCAGTCTTCAGCACTGCATGGTTCCTAATACACATAGATAAGGAGTAGCCAGACTCCAAATACTGCTGGGTGCAATCCAAAAATTAGTTCCTTGGCAGGTATAAAAAACAACACCCAAACGCTTAACAAAACCAAAAAATCCCTGAGGCTCACAAAGTATCTTTAGTAGCACAGATAATTAAAATAGCTGAGAGAGTGAACTCTTGTCTGACTCCAAAACCTGTGCTTCTTTACCAAAAAGTTGTGGTTCACAAGAAGTCATGACATGAATCACAGGACATTAAAAAAAATGAGCATATTGAAGAAAGTAGGTAATCATATTATGAAATAAATATCAATCAAATGAGATTTCATAATCTAAAAGAATTGATCCTTGTCAATTTTTAAGTTGAAAGTATTTTTATGTAAAGTTTGTCTATGTATATTTACGTAGCATGTATTTTTATATACGTATGTTTATGTTGTATGCATATGTTATATGATAATATATATGTATAGACTAGTTTGAGAGAACCAAAACTAATATTATCTTAGGCACATAGAAACTGAAATTAATGTAAAAGGATTTGTAATGGATAACTAAAGCACCGGTGTTTTGTTTGTGGTCTTACAAGTAGCAAATGTGAATCACATTGACTCTATTTTTCTTCCTTTCTTTTTCTTTCTGTTTTGTTTTTTATTTTTTGTGTATTTGTGGGGTGTATGCCCAGCAGTGCTTAGGGGTTACTCTTGACTCTGCGCTCAGAAATTATTTCCTGCACTGCTTTGGAGACCATATAGTGTGCTGGAGATTGAACCCTGGTCAGCCGCATATAAAAGAAGCTTCCTACCTGCTGTATTATATATCCAGCCCCAAGACTATCCTTTTGTTTAAAAATTTCTTTGATAATGATTTCCAGACAACACACAAAAATCCTTAACATTGACACCTGCACTCCAGTTTGTGTTTCTCGCCATCTGGTGGCTTCATTAATGGTGCTTCACTTTGTTTGTTGGCACCCAATTAAAGTGCAATATGAAATATTTTGTTGCTACTTTTGCTGTCAATTATTATTTTACTCTTTTTTTTTATTATTCTAATATAAAAAGTGTGAGCCACAGATGGTATGTGCCAGCTTCAACATGATAAAGAAATGCTTTGGCTTTTTAAATTTTTTCATTTCTTTCATTGAATCACCGTGAGAAACCCAGTTACAACTGTGTTCATAATTGGGTTTCAGTAATACAACATTCCAACGCCCATCCCTTCACCAGTGTACATTTCCCGCCACCAGTGTCCCCAGTTTCCCACCTACCCCATGTCCCGATCCTGTCTGTACGGCTGGCAGGCTCTCTCTCTCTCTCTCTCCCTCTCTCTCTCTCTCTCTGTCCCTCCCTACCCCCCCGCCCTTTTTGACATTATGGTTTGCAATACAGATACTGGAATTTTTTTTTTTTTCTTTTTGGGTCACACCCGGCGATGCTCAGAGGTTACTCCTGGCTCATGCACTGAGGAATTATTCCTGGCGGTGCTCTGGGGACCATATGGGATGCTGGGAATCGAACCCGGGTTGGCCATGTTGGTTGCGTGCAAGGCAAATGCCCTACCCGCTGTGCTATCACTCCAGCTCCCAGATACTGGAATTTTATCATATGTGTCCCTTTACCTACTTTCCGCACTCAGTTCTTTTTTTTTTTTTTTTGAAGTAAAACATTTTATTTGGGGAGGGTTTTGTAGGGAAGGAGAAAGAGAAAAATTGGGAGAGAGTGGAGAGTAAGAGAGACAAAGTAACATGCTCAAGAGAGAATGAGGACTTCTCCAAAGGCAGAGAGAGCCCCTACACACATCCCAGCATTAGATGGGAAAGCATAAAAGTATACATCTCAAGAGGGGAGATGTGGGTGACACGTGTGCTCAGGCACCACGTGTACTCGGCCACGCGGGCTTGGGCAGCATATGTGCCAGCATTCAGTTCTTGTTCAGAGGTTTCACTTACTTTTCAAGCCAGTAAGCCTAAAAGTTTTGGCAGATTAATTTTTTGGTGAACTCAGTCTCATAGAGATACTACAGTCCATCTGGAGACATGGTGGCTTTGGGGTGTGGGAGCAAGCAGCTACTGATGGAGCGGGCACTGGGCTAATTCACTCCTCTCTAGGGTGCCCCACACGTTTCAACCATAAGTGGGTATCCAAATACTTTTGATGGCTGGTTGATTTCTTTTAAAATTTATTTATTAGTCTCTGGAGCAGGGGCTTTGGCTTATTTTAAACTTTTTGGGCCACATCTGGCAGTAAATGACCTTGAGATTAGACCAAAATCCATGATATACATTGAAGAAAATATAGGTAGAACTGACTAGGATATGGACACCAGACGTGTCTTTAGTGCTGTGATTTTGTTGGCACAGAAAACAATAGCATAAATAAGGAAATGAAACTACATGAAAATGGAACGTTTCTAAACTGTGGACGAAATGAAACCTAAAATAAAAAGACTCCTTACAGGTTGGGAGAATATATTTACAAACCATACATCAAAAGACTAAATATTAAATATATATAAAGCAGCTTCAAAGCTCAGCAATAAAGCAAACAATCAAAAATTGGGAAAAAAAGATGAACAGACACTTGATCAAAGAAGACATAGAGATAGTCAACAGAAATATGAAAAAATATTCATCACTGATTATGTGCCAAATGCGAATCAAGACAACAGTGAGCTATGACATCAATAAGAATGGTCTGTGTCAGAAAAGCACCTGCCTAAGAGGCAGACAGTAGGTGAGGGGTGGGGAATAATGGGAGGAAACCTGAGGACAGTGGTGCTGGGAAATGTACACTGGTAGAGGAATTGGTGTTGGGATACTGCATGACTAAAACCCAATCATAAACGACTTTATAATGCTCTAAAAATAGTAATAATAGTAAAAAAAATGAACCACTCTGAAATAGCAATGAAATGCAATCATCTACATAGGTCTATATGTACTTTCAGATTTTCTCTTGTTGAACGGATGCCTAACTAAAACAGTCTTGCATACTGTAAACTCTTGGTACATTTGAAAAATAGATGCTACTCCCAGAATTATTGTTAGTTAAAAATCATCTTGGCCATTCAGTATTACTTGAAATGTCCACTGTCCACTGTCCTCCCCTTGTTCATCGATTTGCTCGAGCAGGTAACATGTGAGACTTGTTACTGTTTTTGGCATATCAAATACGTCACAGGTAGCTTGCCAGGCTTTGCCATGCGGGCAAGA